AACTATTTACAAAACTAGAATTACATAACTAACAATATCTTAATAATAAAAACGTTAAATGCAATTTAATTAAGCCTTGCTTGAAAATACGCTTTCATTGCAGCTTTGAAGCTCTTTAGCGTTACTACAGTTACTACACTTGCAGTCACAGTTACTGCTATATCACATGAATAAGGTATTTACTTACCCAATTTTTTTATATATGTAAGATAGAAGAACTTGGCCATGATGTTGTGTTAGTGGCATTCCAAACTTGGGTGTGTCAAGCAGGCAGTGAAGCATCCCCTCTAGTGATATGGAATGGAGCCACTGTGACCTATGATTGTCAAGGTTTGTACTATCCCTCCTTCATTGGGGAATCAAGGTTGACATAAGCATAGCGATAGTGCACTTAACACGTACGCAAACTTCAGTAGGCAAAACTTATGACGTAGGTGAACTTCAGTAGGCGAAACTATGCGTAGACAAAACTATCGTGATTGTCCCATTAGATTTATAGATACTAAATCCCACTAATGATAAATATATTATTTGGTTGGTAGGTATTCATCTGGAAATGAGTATTACAGTTCTCAGTCATACTCAGAGTACATCCAACCCTGAGAACATACCTTACCATAACATCATGCCAAGCACACTGGATAGAATAAAGGTTGTCATAGGTGATGTGAGATCCATGTCTAAAGGTGTGAAAGAGTTGTTGCAGGTCCAGTCTGACTATAAGGCACAGTGTTGTTGTACTATCAAGGATCTTGGGTGAGTTACGGTCACACTTTTTTCTTTATTAACTTGTGAAACAAGTGATAAGAACCAGCATGACTTCATGTTCTAGAGAACATGTGCAGCCCATTTGATCTTTCTTCCTTTTTTCTGGGAATTGAATTCTGATAAATTGTTATGTTTTATATTATGATTTATATTTTACCTTAACTCTTTTCCTTGGAGGTAATGTCTTTTTATTTCAGACCACGTGTCATTCCCTAGAGTATCATTTCTTTATTTAACAGTTTTTTATTTCAGACCACGTGTCATTCCCTAGAGTATCATTTCTTTATTTAACAGTTGCCTATGAGAAGACACACAAATATGGATACACCTCAAACAGAGAATCTTATTCTCAAGAGAATGACACATGGTCTAAAATGGGACAACATGCCCACAATAAAGATATCTATAGATTGCAATACACAGAGTTTAATATTTATTATTAGATATTTATCGCTTAGTTAATGGTTTTTTATTTTTTAAGTGTTTTCGTTTTCAACTCCTCATTTCCTATTGTTTCAGAGGGTTTGATGAACCGTTCAAAAAATGTATGAACCATCTCTTAGTTTCCTTGACAAAAGATCCCTTCTCTACCCTCCTGAGTGGTGGTTTGACAGCTGGCCTTGGAAACGGAGCTGTTCTGATATGTGGCAGTGGCACCAATGCAGGGGAGGGGTGTGGCAAGACCTCTCTTGCACATACTTTGTGTCATCAGCTACAACAGTGGCCTGTGTGTGCACATGTTACTATCATAGATTGTATTCCGCTACGAGGTGAGACCTTTTCTTCACATCTTTATCTTATTCAATCCCATTCAATTTTCATTCCCATTTGATTTAATTTGCCATTCTTTATTTTATTTCATTTTGTCTATTAAGTTTTATCCCAGCCGATTTAATCCTATAGTATCCTATCAGATACATCCATCCAATCCCATTGCATYCTTTCCCATTCTCATTCTATTGTATCTCATGGCATCATAACCTTACATTATTTCAAATTCTATCCTTCCTCTTCACATCCCATTACACCTCATCCCATCCCATTATTTCACCCATCCATATTCTTTCCATATTTCATCAAAGCTAAGAGAGTAGAAACAATTCAGCGGCAATGGCAGCAAGCATTTGCAGAGGCAGCCTGGTACCAACCATCTGTTATCCTATTGGATAATCTTGATCATGTGATCTCAGCCCCAAATCTTACCCAAGAAATGGGAGGAGAAGGATTTTATAGAAAGAGGCTTGTCGAAGGTATGTTGAGCTTCCCATAGCAATATACTCTTACCGCTCACCTCTGGAGTCTCAGGTTTGATTAGGCCAAACAAAAAAATAAGTGTGTTTCCTGTTGCGCGACTGACCCTAATTTTCTTGCTGATTTTTGCCRACCCTAATATTTTTTTCATTCCCAAATGCACCACAGGGTTCCCAGTAAGTTCATTTCCACTGTTGTATCAGTAAAAAACATCTGACCTACCAACCTCAATTATTTTTCTCATGCAACAGGAAACACACT